TCAGGACACCCAAACCGGTCTTCCTTCTTTGCTATATGATTTTCAATTTAGTTCAACAAATATTTTGGCATCTAGGTGTCATTGTAGGCAGAATGCTGGACTTGGAGTCAAGAAGATGAGTGCAAATCCAGCTTCAGACTCTTACTATCTATGTGCTTCTGGGTAAATCACTCAGATTCTCTATGCTTCATTTTCTTCATGCATAAAATGGGAATGACAATAATGCCTATGCCCCAGGGTTGTTGTAAAGATAAAATAGGTTGATATTTATAATGTGCTTTACAAACTTTAAAGAGTCATATAAGTGCTAGCTAGAAATAATTCGTGAACTCCTACTATGTGCGAAGTACTATGGGCTGTGTGTGGTGAAGAAAAAAAGAGCATAGTCTCTGTCCTATAGTTTGGTTCTAGGGAAAATCTGACAACTCATAATGCAATTACCATCCAATCAACATTTATTAAGCACCTACGATATTCCAGGAACTGTACTCAGCAATGGTGATACAAAACCAAAAATTAAAGTCATGACCTCCAGAGCTTATGTTATGTTGAAAGTAATAACTAAGTTGATTTTATTGGGGGGGGGGGATGATGCCACTGAATCAAAGAACTTAAAGGTACGCATTGAAGGTGTGTTGCTATCCTGACCTTCTCTAAATAGGTCTCATCTTATAGAATAAGGATTGAATGAACCTGTGGTTTCATTGGTATAGGGAACTTCCAAGTGAGGAAACTCCTTCTTGCAATGCAGCTCTGCTGTTTATACTTTAAAGAGAATTCCCTAGAGTACTGAGACATTATATGGTACTTGAAACCAAGTAATAATGGTAACGATAATAGCTAGTATTTACTATGTGCCAGGTGCCACGATGAGCACTTTATCATTTTTCTCATTTGATGCTATTATTATCTCCATTTTACAGTTGTGTAAACTGAGGCAAATCGAGGTGTAAATAAGATGGATTTTATTATTCTTTTTTAGATACTAGTTCCTGGGATCCATGGCCAAAGCAGTCTACTAGTTCCCAGGAGTTCACATTAGAAACAATTTCTACCGCCGCTGTGCAGTGAGATATAAGGATTAGATAGTGTAAACATTTGTGCTTGGTTGCAAATAACCTACTGTGCTTGCGCTATGCTCAGTCAGCATAACATTGCTAGAGTTAATTTAAACTTGCTGGCCAAATGCCTTCTATGTGTGCTCCTCTATAAATCAAGTGAGCACTGGTCAGTGAGTGGGGATTTCAAGGATGCATAGGTGAATGCATGTGTGTCTGCCTCAACCAGCCTCCTTTGAGACTTAGAGGGCATTTGGGGAATTTGTGACCTTGGGTAAGTCATTTCATTAGGGATGCTGTTCATGCCTTGATTGGCCCCCATCGAGGCTTAGGGGGAATGCACAAGCTGGAATGCTGTGCTGCCTCGACTGGTCCACATCAAGGCTTAGGGGAATGAGATAGGAGTTGTGCTCCTACTTAGGGGTTGTTGCTCCATTCCTGCTGGCTCCTGCCAGAAGAGTAACTGGGGGAAGGTGTAGGAGTTGGTGCTCCCTTTATCAGCAATCTACTTAAGAATAAGAATAAATTATTATTGAACCCCTCATTATCTCTCCATTCCTGTCTTTCTGGCTGTCCTGATCAAGAGCGAACCTACTAGAGGCTGGAGCCCAAAACCTCCTGTGACTCCTGTGTCCTTAGAAGAGGTTAAGGTCACAAAGCTAGTGAGTTCTGGATTTGGATTGGAATTCAGGTCTTCATGACTCCAGGTCTGGCACTCTTGTTCATTGTGCCATCTGGTTTCAAGGCCAACTGTTTATTCACTATGCCAGCCTCATCATAAACCTGTGTAAATAGTCACATGTATGTATGAACTTGAGCTTAATCTCAGTAAATTGGCCAGTGTGTATATACTTTACTTTGCCTGAGCACTTATGTTTGTGTAAATCTTAATATAAGTTCTAATTTAACCCTGTCTATACCTATAACTTTTTTTTGCTCTAGCATCCATCTGTCATATGCCCTTTTGATGAAACTTGTCTGACCCATCACGCCCCTGTGCCTCCACAGGAGTTTGGTAATTAGATTAGGCCCTTCCATTCCCAAGGAGGGGAGATAGATAGAATGCCTTTTAGATCCAATTCAAACTTCTCTTTCCTATTGTCCTTTTCTGAGGTGTCAAGGCCTCTAACCTCTCCACTTGCCTGTTGATGTTATTGAGAAACTGTGGAAATCTCAGGTTCTTAGCCTTTTGTACGTCATAGGCTCCTTTGGCAATCTGGTGAAGCATATGGCTCACTTGTTAGAATATTTTTAAGAGCATAAAATAAAGTGCATTTGTATTACAAAGGAAACCAGTTATTTTGAAATATTGTTATCCAAGTTAAAAAATTTAAAAAAAAATATGGACCACAGATGAAGAACTCCTGCTGTAAACCCAATCAACCCATTGATCAATAAGCATGTTTAAACCACTTTCTATGTTCCAGGAGCTGTGCTTGCTGTTGGTGATGCAAAGACAAAACAATTCTTGGCCTCAATGAGCTATTAGAGGAGACAACACATATACGCATATGAGAATATGTAAAATAAATATAAAATAAACACAAAGCAGTTAATTACAAGGCAGTTAGAGAAGGAGGCTACTAGAATTTGGGGGGAAGGGGAATCAGCGAAACTTCAGGTAGAAGGTAGCATTTTAGCTGCATCTTGATGGTAGAGAATTCCATGAAATCAGGAGTGAGTAGGTCTAATGGAAACGCATGGAGATAGGCAATATGCCATGTCTGAAAAAGAGAGAAGACCAGTTGTCTGGAATGTTGAGTGTTAGGTGAATAATATATAATGAGCCTGGAAAGATAAGTTAGTGACAAGAATGAAAGACTTTAAAAGCCAAAAAGCAGAGTTCATATTTTCTCCTAGAGACAGTAGAAAGTTCCTGGAGTTTACTGAGTAGGGGAGTGATATGGTCAGAATATGACTAATGCTTGTTTGGCTGATGCTCCAAGAGGCAGTAGCTGGATCTCATTGGAGAGTTGCTGGGCGTCCAGAACCAATGGAGTTTAGTTCCTAGAAAACATGAGCACCCTGCAGAAAGATCACCTAGCATTGCCATTCCTGGGGCTGTTGGCCAAAGGCCAGATCCAAGAGTTGGATAAAAGAGGCCTTTGTAAAGTCTGTGTCCTTGATATAAGAAATTCTTTAAGACCTGAATTGGGCTAAGGAAAGAGATTGTAATGGGAGAGCCTCCATTTTCAGAGAAGCTTCAGTATGCCTGTGTGACCAATAAACGAATTATATTAGAAAAAGGCGCTGTTGGCACCCCAGATGTTTAGGGAGAGGAATTCAATCAAAGATCCAAAAGGACCCAAGGAAGCCAATAATATTGATTGACCTGCTGTGGTATATCAAGATGTCTCTGTTTCCCTATCCGTTGTTAGGCAGGCAGTAAAGTCATCATTTTCTTTAAAATCTCTAGGGAAGAACACCACAAAGTCACGGGTAGCAATTTGGGTGCCTGGAGGAAACGGGTCAAAGGCCATCAGTCCCTTTCAGTCTTGTCTACTCAGTCTCTGTCATTTGCATGGATCATAATTGTCATCTTGGGAGTAGAAATGTTTAGACAAAAAGAGCTTGCAAGGCTGCGGGAGAAAAACGATTCAAAAACAGACCTAAAGTGCTTAGATACTGCTTTACCTAGGCTGCCAGGGCAGCTGGCTGGGGTCTATAACACAAAAGGGCTGAAATAGTCAGAGGCTCTTAGCTTTTCAGGGCCAACAGCCCCAGGAATGGCAATGCTAGGTGATCTTTCTGCAGGGTGCTCATGTTTCGCAGGAACTAAACTCCATCAGATCCAACTCTCCAGTGAGATCCTGCCACTGCCTCTTGGAGCATCAGCCAAACAGCCCTATGAGCTGCAGCAGTAGCTCAGAGAAGAGGCTACCTCCCAAATGAATAATAACAGATGCACACAGCAGTTAGCAGCATAGCAGCTCAGCAAAAAGTCACCAAGAACACAGATGCTCAGCAAATCCCCGGCAGAGAGAAGCATGGTGGCATCACAAGAAGGCAAGGCAGCTGTGCAGCACAATAGGCATGAATTCCCCAGGGTTCTCATGTTCTCTATATGTGTGTCCCTCCTTATAGGTGTGTCCCCTCATCACACGTATCCTCTGCTTCAGAGATGTCAAATTCATATGCACAAGCAAGCTCCCAGAAGGTGCCCAACTGGATTAAAATTTAATTGGGAAATATTTGACAAAATAAATAAAAATATGACAGCACAGATAGTGTTAATTTGTACTTTTCTAAGTCAATATGTGACTAGTAGAGATCCTTACTATTTAAGTCTGAGATCATTGCTCTACTCTACTGGTAGCATGGGCTTCATAGGATAGTGAGTCCCTGTGTGTACATGGGGCAATAGTCTTATTTGTTGTACTACTACATTTGATTAGATGTCATTTGCTTTGTATTATTTGATGGGTGAAAGCAAAGTGAACACATCACAAGAGTGTTGGGAGTTATGGGGTTGGGGTTTTTTTTTGAGTTTTTATGGTTTTGATACTGACCCACAAAGTGGCTTGAACCTGAGCTACCTTTGGAGGGGGTACTGAGTAAATGTCTGTTTTGCTGTACCTACAGTATTTGTAAATAAAAGATTCTGAAACAAAGAAAGATTTCTTCTTCTGTATTCTCCAACATGTAAAATTCAACAGAGGACTTAACAGTTTCAGTGGTGAAGGAGAGACACGGCATGTAATGTATTAAATCCAATTCTGAATAATGCAGATGGCTGATACAGTCTTCTAGAAATATGAGATGTTTCTAGTATTCCCTTTTTCTCATTGATCAGGTTGGATTTTGAGAGGAAGCATTTTGCTTCATAAAGAGTACCACTCAATCATTTATATACCCTGTTCATTAGCATAAACAATACTGGCAATTCCTTTCTTCCTCTCCAAAACACATCAGAATATGGTACACATTTTGGAAAAAAGGCTCATTTCTGGCAATGAATGGTCTTCTGGAAGCTTTGGGACTCCATCCAGTACTTTTAAGTTTGGCAAACTGGAAAACACTCTGAAACAGGAGAGACATCACAGTAATTAGGTTGACCTGCTAAAGACCCAGAGCATTCTATTTCAGCTACAGTCTCTATAAATAAGCTTTCTTTTATGTCTCCCATCATTATAAGAAAGATGGCAGCATTGCAGCATCAGTGAACCTGACCCTAGTGTGTTTCACTAGCTTCCACATGGAGGTGATAGGATTATAGGATCACAGATTTAGAGCTAGAAAGGACCTTGGAGGCCATCATGATCAATGATTATACATTTCACCTGGGTGGGCAATACTGGCCTGCCTGGCTCTAGACGTGGGATTTAACACGTCTTTGACAGACTGTGACTTTTGATCATAGACACTGAATGCTACACAATTTGTTTTTATAACTGAAATAAATTTCAATGGTTACAGACTGCCCTAGGGAAAAATCAGTGCAGGGATTTAGCTGAGTGGTGTTATTACAGGAAGAAAATGATGGTCTATGAACATATTATAAAATAAAAAAAAAAGAATAAAGCCCCAACTGTGAAATGAGATTGAAAGAAGAACTCTACTACAGAAATAATGAGAGGATGCCAGATTTGGGGAGGGAGATTGGGCTGTTATCCCATCTTGACTGAGGGCACCTTTCTAAAGCTTACATTTCCCATTTGCAAATCAGATGCTGAGTTCAGAGGACAGATCATTCTCATCACCACCAAGTTAACAGTTGGAACTGATATTCACTAGCAGGTTTTTCCCCCTCCAAAGAAGGCATCTGCTTGACTTTACTGCATTGTATGTGGCCTATGGAGAGAGATCTGGCATCTTTCTGACTGTCTAGGATGCCAGAACTGGAAACTTCTCAGAGTGAATTCTCCTGGGGATTAACTGATAGAGGACCAAACCGTCTTTATGAAAGTTACAATATGATTTCCTCTCCTATAGCATCACAGATTTTGAACTGAATAAGACTTTAAGGGTCTCCTAATCCAACCCCCTCATTTTATGGGTGAGGAAACTAAAATGTAGAGAAGGAAAATGATTTACCCAAGATCATGCAGCAATCAATTTTAGAGTTGAAATTTGATGCAAAGTCCTCTGATTCACAGTGCAGTACTGCCTCCACTGTACAATATTGCCCTTTACTGCCTTGGAGAATCTCTGGTTGGGGGAGGAGAGAGGGAAGGAAAGGGCTGGGACTTTCCCAGTGAGAGCTCAGGCATAAGCTGCTTCTGGGAGTCTGGGATTGTGTGGCTGTTTTCCCTTAAATACATTTTATCATATTGGAATCAGGAGCTTCCCAATAATAAGTCAAATGATGGCTGGGGAGTTATCCACCTGCCTACAATGACCTAAACTATTGTCTATGAACAAAACCTGGAGATTTTAAGTTCTATTTTTTTAGACTGATGTTTTCTGGTTGGAGGACCTGAAACAAAGGAGGAAGGGGAAAGATAAGTGAATCTTTGTCACAATTCCAAGTAATAATGAATAAGAGAAGCATATAATTGTTTTATTCTTTCAAGCATAGTTTTAAAGGGTCGTTTTCCCAGGCTAACGTGATGGCTGGCTGTCACTGATGCTCAAAGAAGGTTTTATAGCACTAATAACTCACGTTTCAAGGTCATTCAAAATTCTATAAATGACTTCTGCTGCAGCACCGTGAGACAAGTATTGTGAGTATTATTATCCTCATGTTATCAATGAGCAAACTGAGACTTGGAGAGGGGATGTGATTTGGAGAACTAGACAGTGGCAGAACCATCAGAAGGCGTTAGGTAACAAAAGGAAACTGCTACTAGTCTTCACTTGATAGGCACTGAGGGATCAAAGCCTGTGAGGCCAGAAGTTTGGATAACTTGGGAACACGGCAGAGGGAAAGTGAATTGGAATTTGATGACAACTGCTGCCTTCATTATGCGCATTTGGATTTTAAGATGACTTGCATCTCTCCATTTGAAACTTCTGCCTTCAATAGACTGTTTCTAGGGATCAGAATGGTGATTTCATTGGTAAAGGGATAAAACTTGCTCTACCAAGGCAGTTCAGAGCATGTTCTGCTCCTTATAGTCTTGGAGAGTTTCCTAGAGTAAAGAGAGGTTAAATGGCTTAGATGGTGCAGTAGGCCTGTGTTCAAACCACTAAGCCTCCCTCAGCCTCAGTTTCCTCATCTGTAAAATTTGAAAAATAAAGCACCTGCAACACCTGCTGTGAGGACAAAATTAGATAATTTACACATAGTGCTTTATAAACATTAAAAGCCCCATGGGCTGCAAAAATCAAATCTGCAACAAAAGGAAACTGAGGCAGAGCTCTGAGCACAATCAGTTTCTTAGGGAGACCAGTGGTCCCTGAGCAATTGGATCCAAGACCTTTCTTGCAGTCAAGGATCCCTCTACTTACTGATCCATTGCTTTTATAGACCTTGGGAGGCCACTAAAAACAGAATGATTGATCATTGTCAAAAGTAGGGGAACTTCTGTGATTGGCCAAGGAAGATATCCATCAACCACTAGCATTTTATTAGCAGTGTTCTGGGGCTTTTCACAGGCTGTAAAAACCATTTATGACAAGGGAACAAGGAAACTGGTTTTTTGAGTATAGTTCACTTATAGAAGTGTGTGTGTGAGAGGTGGGGGGTGAGTAGTACTAACACAGTAATTTCCTAACATAAGTTAATAAAAGTCCTTATAACAAGCCCAACTAATAAAGCATAAATTTATCCTATCAATCAAGTAGGAGTAATATTTTCATCAATACATAGTGGGTTAATTAATTGTAACCCACATGACTCTTATCCTTACAGCATTAACTAAATCAAACTTAATTCTATGATACTTCACTCACTAATACAATCACTGATACTCATTAAATCATAATGAACTAATACTGATTAAATTGAGTAGATTTAGCAAAATCATTTTCACAGCACTATATAAATGTGAACTAAATGCAAGGTGTCCCCAAAGTCTTAGCGCATTTTTATGCTACTAAAAACTTAACTAAAACTTTTGGGCCACCCTGTACAGAAATCTAGAAATCAAGTTTTTTCTTGAATTCAAGGTTAGCTCTCTAGCCGTTATACCGCATTGTCTCCCTCAATGGATATTGTTAAATAAACATATTCAGGTGCTCTACAGCACTAAATTAAGGATTGAGATACATTCTTCCTGGATTCCAAACAACAATAATAATTAATAATGATGATGATGATGATAACAACATTTATATAATGATTGAAAGTTTATAAAGTATTCCATGCATGTTATATTATTTGATCCTTACTACAATTCTGTGAGGTAGGTACTACTATTATCTTCTTTTAATAGATGAGGAAACCGAGGCACATAAGTTTAAGTGACTTGCACAGGGTCACCCAGTTCGTAAATGTTTTTTTTTTAAATAAATTTATTTATTATTACCATTCTTTTCTTTTTTAAATTTTGAAATCCAAATTCTCTCTCACCCTTCCTTCACTCACTTCAGAAGGCAAGCAGATGGTATCAATTATATATAAGAAATCATGCAAAACATATCTCTATATTAGCCATATAGCCAAAAAAAGCAAAAAAGAAATAAAGTAAGAAAATTTTACTTAAATTTTCAATTAGAATTCATCAGTTCTCTCTCTGGAGGTGGATATCACTCTTTTTTTCATTGTGAGTCCTTTGGAATTGTCTTGGATTATTGCATTGAACAGAGTAGACAAGTCTTTCACAGTTGATATCACATAACCATTGCTGTTACTGTACACAATGGTCTCCTGGTTCTTCTCACTTCACTTTGCATCAGTTCATAAAGGTTTTACCATTTTTTTCTGAAACCACCCCCTCATCATTTCTTATATCACAATAGTACTCCATCACAATTATATACCACAACTTGTTCACCTATTCCTCAATGAATGAGCGTCCCGTTAATTTCCAATTCTTTGCCACCACAAAAAGAGCTGTTATAAATATTTTTTTACATACATGCATTTTCCTTTTTCATTGATTTCTTTGGGGTAAGATCTAGTCATGGTATTTCTGGGTCAAAGGCTATGCACAGTTTTATAGCCTTTTGGGCATAGTTCCAAATTATTCTCCAGAATGTCTGGACCAGTTCACAACTTCATCAACCATTTATCAGTGTACCTATTTTCCTCATTCTCTCCAGCATTTGTCATTTCTGATAGATGTGAGGTGAAGCAACCTCAGAGTTGTTTTAATTTACATTTCTCTAATCCATAGTTATTTGGAGCATTTTTTCATATGACTATGGATATCTTCAAGTTCTTCTTTTGAAAACTGTCTGTTTATATCCTTTGATCATTTATCAATTGAGGAATGGCTCTTAGTTTTATAAATTTGACTCAGTTATCTATGTATTTGACAAATGAGGTTTTACTCAGAAAAAATTGATATAAAAGTTTTTGATATTGCTTCTTTGTCTATGGTACCTTTTAGCAAAATGTAGTTTTCCTGATTGTCTCTTTTATTTAAGTCTCTTTGTTTTTGTTTTGCTTGAGATCATGATTGCTACCCCTGTCTTTTTCACTTTAGTTGAAGAATAATAGATTCTGCTCCAGCCTCTTGTTTTAACTCTTTGTGTGTGTTTTTTTTGTTTCAAGTGTATCTCTTATAAACAACATATTGCTTGATTCTAATTTCTAATCTATTCTGCTATCTGATTCTATTTTATGAGTGAGCTCTTCCCTTTCACATTTACAGTTATCATTACTGATTATGTGTTTCCCTCCATTTCATTTTCTTCTGTTTATCCTTCTCTCTCTCTCCCTCCCTCTCTCTCTCTTTCTCTCTCTCTCTCTCTTTTTCCTGCCCTTCCCTAAAAGTCTTTTTTTCCTCCAGAATACTTCCTCTCTTAATCTGCCTTCCCTTTTATCATCCCTCCCTTTTTCCTTCCCTTCCTATTTCCCTATTAAGATAGATTTTATATCCAATGAGTGTGTGTGTGTGTGTGTGTGTGTATTCTTCCCCCTTTAAACTGATTCCAATAAGAATGAGGTTCAAGTATTGCCCACCCACCTTCATTTTCCTCTTCACTATAAAAGTTCTTCATTGTAAGTCCCTTTTATGTGAGAGAATTTCACCATTCTACCTCTCTCTTTCCCCTTTTCCTAGTACATGACTTTTTCTCACCACTTCATTTTTTTGAGATCATCCCAACATAAATTAACTTACATTTATGCCTTTTGCCTATATATATCACCTCTAAATGGCCTAATACTGACAAAATTCTTAGAAGTAACATGTACTTCCCACATAGGAATGTAAACAGTTTAACTTTATTAAGTCCCTTATGATTATTCTTTTTTATGTTTACCTTTTTATGTTTCTTTTGAGTCATTTGAATGTTGTTTTCTTTTCAGCTTTGGTCTTTTCATCAGGAATGCTTGAAAATCCTCTATTTCATTAAATATCCATTTTTCTATTAAAATATTACACTGTTTTGCCTTGCTCCTTTGCCTTCCAGAATATCATGTTCAAAGCCCTCAACTCCTTTAATGTGGAAGCTGCTAAATCTCCTGTGATCCTGACTGTGCCTCCACAATATTAAAATTGTTTCTTTCTGGCTACTTGCAATATATTCTCCTTGACCTAGGAGCTCTGAAATTTGGCTATAATATTCCTAGAACTTTTCATTTTGGGGTCTCTTTCAGGAGGTGACCAATGGATTCTTTAAATTTCTATTTTACTCTCTGGACCTAAGATATCAGTTTTCCCTGATAATTTCTCAAAATATGATGTCTAGGCTCTTTTTTTGATAATGGCTTTTAGGTAGTCCAGTAATTCTTAAATTATCTCTCCTCAATCTATTTTCTAGGTCAGTTGTTTTTCCAATGACATATTTAACATTTTCTTCTTTTTTTACCATTCTTTTGACTTTGCTTTATTGTGTCTTGATGTCTCATGTAGTCATTAGCTTCCAGTTGCCCAATTCTAATTTTTAAGGAATTATTTTCTTCATAAGCTTCTGTACTTCTTTTTACATTTTGCTAATTCTGCTTTTTAAGGCATTCTTCTCCTCATTGGCTTTTTGGACCTCTTTTACCATTTGGGTTAGATTATTTTTTAAGGTGCTTTTTCTTCAGTATTTTTTTGGGTCTCCTTTGGCAAGCTGTTATTTGTTTTTCATGATTTTCTTGCATCATTTTCATTTCTCTTGCCAATTTTTCCTCTACTTCTCTTACTTGCTTTTCAAAATCCTTTTTGAGCCCTTCCATGGCCTGAGACTAATTCATATTTTTCTTGGAGGCTTTGGATGTAGGAGCTTTGACTTTGTTGTCTTCTTCTGGTTGTATGCTTTGATCTTCTTTGTCACCAAAATAAGATTCTGTAATCTGAGTATTTTCCCTCTGCTTGCTCATGTTCCCAGCCAATTATTTGACTTTTTTAACTCTAGGGACCTGTATATTTTCAGTTCTTC